AGGCAAGGAGGGCGGGGAGGGGTGTTTGGGTGGGGAGCTGGTGGTCCAGGGTGGGAGGTCAGAGTCGTGCTGGCGTCACCCTGGTGTCTTCATCCCCCACTAGCTTGTCCCCAGTCGCCCTCCCAGGCACAGCTGGGCTGAAGGAGTGGGGCTGTGGCACCTGGGAGCCACATCTCTGCACCTCCTGCCACCGTGGGGTGTGAAGGAGCCTTTGCACGGGGCCAGGCAAGCACCGACACCTCTGTGCTCAGCCAAGGGATGGCTCTGGGACCTCCCGTGCCACCAGTGCAGAGCAGCCACCCACCCCTGCACCTCTGGGTGGAGCAGACTTCTCCAACACCCCCTATTTTCACCCTCAAGGGCTGCCCTGAAATGCAGGTGAGTTGTGGTGCCATTAACTCTTCTGTTACTGCTGGTTTGTTTGGGTTTTTTTGTTGTTTGTTTTTTTGTTGTTGTTGTTTGTTTTGGGTTTTTTGTTTGTTTGTTTTTGTTTTTTTGTTTTGGTTTTGTTTTGTTTTGTTTTTTTCCTTTGCTCAGGTCTCCCCACCGAAGCACAGGAACTCCAGGAGCTGCCTCAGGCAGCAGGGACCGAGTGATGACGGAGCTGTGGCTGGGAGCCCCAGCTCTTTTATCAGGGTGGGCCCTGCAGGCGGGTGCCAGCAGCAATAACTGCGGGTGTTTGCCTCGAGCATACACGCGTCCCTGTAAATAGGGTTTATGGCAACATCTGGGAGATGGGGAAGCCCAGCAGAGGCGACCTGGGAGGTAATAAAGAGGAGCGGCCCTGCTTGGCACTGAAGCTGCTCAGGATATGGGTATATTTGACTGGGATGAGGAGGAATTTAAGAGGGCCAGAGAGTGCAGGAGGATGCTGCTCTGCACCGGGACCTCTCGCCAGAACATCAAAGCTCATCTGCAAAAACCAGCCTGCCCAGAGCATCTTCCTGGGGAGCACGACACGCAGACTGAGCGCTGAGCTGTGCAGAAGCAAGGGCACCTCTCTGAGGGTGGGCACTGAGTCGGCACTGCAAAGCAGATGGGAGCTGGGATGGAAAATGTGGCCAGTATTCCCACCTTCTGCCAAGCCCGCTGCCCTTTTTGGGGAAAGAGGAGCTTTCAGGCAGCGTTTCTGAGACCCCCTGGCTCCCAGGCCCTCTGCCTGCTCCTCCCTGCTCCTGCCATCGAGACTCTTTCTAGGATCGCCGGGAGCACTCCAGGCTCTGACCTTCCATACGTGTGTTAGCTTGAAATAACACACAAGTGAGGGTGATAAACCCTCTTGGTGCAGGCCGGGAGGAAACGAATTGCTGTTAGCAAACAGTCAGTGAAGAGCAATTAAGATTACGGGCGGCAGGAGGGGAGTGAGCCGCCGCCGCTTCCCGCTGGCACCCTCCTCCTTCACGGTGGCTTTGGCCCCGGGATCCTGAGCTGTCCCTCACTCTCAGCAGGGATTCCCTACGTCCTGGGGCTTTCCCGATGGTTACGGGTTAATTTGAAGGCTGGTTTCTGCCTTGCTCTCAGCCCAGCATTGGGAGCATCCCCCTGCGCCCAGAGCCCCCGCGAGTACCGGGGTGGGGGCGATGGTGCTGGGTGCTTTGGAGCACCAAAGGGTGCTCGGTCGGGTGGCGGCGCGGGAGCGTCCCTCCTTGGGACAAAAATACCCTCCAGATCTGGGGCTGGCGTGGGCTGAGGTGCTGAGTGCTGCAGACACGGCTCCCATGGAGCAGGACTGAGCCGGGGGATGCGTTAAAGGCATTTCAACCGTTTCCAGCCTCCCTGGGTTGCCGAAAAGGCTGAGAGAGCCCATCCCGCAGCCTGGGAGAGGGGATTCAGCTCCCCTCTGAGCATCGCCTTTGTACAGCCCAGAGGCACAGGCACGGGATGCAGGATGAGGCCTCTTGACCCAAGCTTTGTGCGGGGACCACCGCTGTCCCCAAACACCGTGCGGGAGCCAAAGCAGAGGAAACCTCACTGCTGCAGGGACCAGGAAACACCGTTCAGCTCGGGGACAAATCAGGCTCAATGGCCTCTGTGGTTTTTTCAATGACATCAAGCGCTTTCAATAGTTTTATTATATATTATATGGCTGCTTATCTATTATTCTTGTGATGGAGCCAGAGATTAGCTGCAGGCAGGTGGGCAGAGAGATTCTTCCAGGCTGATTCATGAGTTGTTTCTCCATCCCTCCCTTTCGGCCACGTTCCCAAGCATTGAAGTTTCAGCTACGGCAAAAGGCACCGGAATGGGAGTCGATGGGTTGACGGGGAGGACAAGGAAAAAGCATTGAAAACTGCGCACACGGGGCAGAAAAGTCAGACTTTATTTCCCCTCTTTTGTTGTTCCTCAGGTGTTGCAATGTCTCCTTTTCCTGGTTTGCATATGCAAGCAGAGCTGTGCTGAGCCGCCGATTGCGAAAGGCGGCAGCGAGAGCACGGCATGGCCCGTGACGTCGGGCGGCTGCAGCCACCAAACCTGCTTTGGGGAGGAAAGCACAGACCTCATTTTGGGGCCTTTTGCCTGTTTTTGCAACTCCGCGTTCTGCTGTCCAGCTGGGAGGCTCTCCCCAAGCACAGCAAAACAAATGTTTTTCCCTTTAATCTATTTTGCTTATCGAAATCTCTAGTGCTACCGATAAGAGGAGCAGGGAAAGGTTTTTCAGACCTAGATGTGAGTCAGACAACAGGTTCCCAGACAGACAGGGATGAGCTGGGTCCGGGATGCTCTGGGGCAGGGACGTGGTGCTGGGCATGGCCAGTGCATCCCCTCTGCCTGGTGACACCCTGCTCTCGCCCTGCGTCCCCGATCGTGCTCTCCTCCGCTTTGTTCCCGGCTCCTTCGGGTGCAGTTTTGCTGTTTGCTCTGGTAACAAGTCGTAATTAAACCGAATAAGCGAGGGAGATCTGCAGGTGATGTCACAGCGAGGAGGTGCAAATCCAGCTCACACAACCTGTGCAAACCGTAACCTGCTCAACAAACTTTCCCCTGAACCAGCAGCCCGGCCGTGGGGCAGCAGCGTGGAGCTGTTGCAGGAAGGTGTGGGATGGCTGCAGTGATTTTCCAGCGTGTCTTGTGTGTGCGTGGGTACAGAGTTTATACATGTTTTTACTCTATATTTGAACTTTCCACGGTTGAGATGCCTGCATTTTTATGCTATGATAAGGGTAGTTGCGCTTGGAGGGCTACTGCCTCAGCTCCGGGGCTGTGCTGGGGCTCTTCTGCATCTGTGGGGATGCTGAGTGGGGACACAGGAGCAGGTTTGGGTGCTGTGCGCCAGCCCCTGAGCCGGGCAGAGCCCCAGCATGGTGCCCACTGCTCCCAGCAGCTCTGGCCTGGGCCCAGTGTCGCGGGTCAAAACCAGGTGGGAGTGATCTGGGGGGGCCGCACCCCGGCAGCCCGACCCGCTGCAGCGCTCCGGAGCTTTGCGATGGGCTTCGAGGGATGCGGGATCGGGGCTGCTGGTGCTGCTGGTCGTGCATGTGAGCAGAGAGGAGATGCTTCAAGCAGTGGCAGGGTGGGGACAGTGCTGTGGCTGCCGTGAGCCTGCAGCACTTGGCGGGGGGGCACTGGGTGGCCAACACCCCCCTCCTGGCTGTGCCCACCCCATCCCATGCGCCCACCCCACTGCAAAGCCCAGCCAGGGGTTGGTGGCTTCCCCACTGCAGCCACTCGCCCCTCCGTGTCCCCCCCCAGCCCACATCTCCCCCCAGCCCTCCATCACATGTTCTGGGCCCGGCTGTGTTTACCAAAACAGGGAAGAAAACCTCTCCTTGGACGGCAGGAGCCCTAATCCTGGGGGAACGTTTTCCCCACCGATAAGATAACATTGACGCGTTTCAAAAGGGAGGCAGAAACTCCTGGCGCTGGCGATAGCGCGGCGAAGCCCTTTGCCAACGCGCCGGGCAGGCCGGGGAAGCCGTAACGCAGGGGTCGCCTGCCTATGGGGTTTTATTTTTCTCCCGACAAACAATTCCGATGGACGGCTTATCAGCTGTGCCGCGCCGCCGCCGCGCACCGGCCCCGGGGTCAGGGCGGCTGAGGGATGCTGGCTCTGCCGTGGCACTTTCCATGGGCTGGGGATGCAAAGCCCAGGCGTGACGGCCACGCAGCCGCCGGGACACGGTGACGTGGGTCCGACCTGGGTTGCACCGTGGGTGTTTGTGGCCGGGGTTTTGTCTGACGTGGGTTTTTAGGAGATGGAGGAGTTTTGTTTTGGCAGCGCTACGTGCGCAGGAGAACCGCCTGAACTGCCCTGCGTTCTTCGCATGTTAAAAAAAAAAAAAAAAGACAATAAATACCAACTTGGTGTCTACCTCGGTCAAAACAGCTTTTTCCTGCTTATGCCGGTGGAGACAACCCGGGCCCGGAGTGCTGCACGTTCCGGCCGTGCCCCCGGTGCCCCATCCTGCCTGCAGCCAGCAGCAAAGCTGGCCCTCGGGGAGGTGACAGTGCCATATCCCTGGTGGGAGGGATGGTTTGGTTGGTGTGACGGGCTCCTTTTGTCCCCGACGGCTCTGAGCATCCTCGCCTGCAGTGTCCAGCACAAGCCCCTTGCGGCTGCAGCACTTGTGCAGGGGATGCTGTCGGTCGGTGGTGCTCCTGGCCCCAAAACAGCTCAGCCTGTGCTGGGGGAGCGACGTCGTGCTGCAGGGTCCGGCCAGGGACTTTCATGCATCCAACAGGTCTCTGTGCTGCAGGGTCTGGCTCCACGAGGAGCCTTTGGTCTCTCCCTCCGTGGCATCCCCATCTCTTGGGTGGGTGACCCAGATGAGGGTGGGAAGGGGTTAATGGTGCCTGGATTTGCCCCACTCCCCTCCCAGAGCCCTTCTGGGTCTGAGCCTGGTGCCTTGACACACCCCTCAAGGGTTAACCCCGGCTTGAGCTATTCAAACACCTCGAGCTGAGGTAAGCACCCAGCTTGTTTGTTCAGGTAAATAAGGAAGGAATTAGATATAATGGGCACAGGAGGCATTCACTGAGCGACTTGCACTGGCTGCCGGCTTCCCCCTCGCATCCCTCGGCTCGGCCGCCGGCTGGCTTCATCCCTCCGCCACCCTCGGAGCCTCTCGGGGTGCCCCGTCCTCCTCCCCAGCCCCAGCCCCAGCCCGCTGGTGCCTGCCCAGAGCCCATGTGGCTCAGCCCGCTCGCCCTGTCGCCGCGGGGCCGGCGTTGAGCCGGGCAGGGTGCTGCTGGCCACCCTCCCTGCCGGGGCCGGGGCACCCCGCTTTGGGTCATGCCCGCCCCGGCCACCGTGCCGAGTGCCACGGGGACGGCTCTTCCCACCCTACGCTGGGACCCATGTGGCTTCTGAGCCACCCGCGCACCCTCGAGGTAAGCCCCACGCTGCTGCTGCGACCCTCCCCGCCTGCCCAGTGCTCTACCAGCACCCACCAGCACCCACCTTCCCTCCCTCCTGGTGCTCCTGCAGCCTTCCGGCACCGATTCGGGGCGTTCACGGTGCCGTCCCGTGAAAACATCCCGCCCCACGGCTCCTTGGAAATTCAGGGGCCATTAGGGCTAAACAGGGACAGGCTGTCCCCTCAGCGTGAGGTTCCCGGCGTTTCTCGGGGTGGTGGCACCCGAAATAAAACGGGATTTGCCAACTTTGTGTCTTGGTGAGGAGGGTGGGATGGGAGCCAGAGCCCACGCCGTACCAGCAGGGACACTGAGGGTCCCGTGAACCCCTGTGCCTGGCGGGAGGCAGGGGACGATGTGTTTTGGGGCACTGTGTGACCAATAAGCAGCCGGGGCCCTTTATAGAGCATCCCAGCCATCAAGGAGCTGCCAGCTCAGGGGTGTCCCTATAAAAGCACTTTGAACCCCTTTACCAGACCTGCACTGTCTCAGCGCTGCTCTGCTTTTCTACTTTCTTTTTTTTTTTTTTTTTTCTGTCAGTGCTAAAGGCACATTGGCTCTAGGTTTGGGTTTTATGGTTCTGCTCGGTTAGTGAAACACAAACGCCGCTCGGCTGCCAAATCCCCCACAATACGGGCTTTCTCATGGGCAGGGAGCTCACGGGGGAGGAAGGTGCTGCTATAAATAGGGGCTCCCTGGCCCTGCATGGGGAACACCAAGCTCTGCTGCTCACCTGGGGGACACTGAGCACTGGGGCTTTGCTCAGGCCACTGGCGGGTTGTTCCCGTTCCCCTCCCCTCGCTGCTGTTTGTCTCCCTGTGCTGGTGGAGAGGGCAGTCTGACCCGGGGCGTGGGGACCCATGGGGACGCTTGGTCCCCGTGCCAGCAGCCATGCAGGTAACAGCAGGAGGAGCCGGGGGGACTTTGGTGGTGTTGGAGAAGACTGGGGTGGGAAATGGGGGTCCAGGACCCTGGGTTGGGCTGCATCCCTCCTGGGTGTACACGCAGCGTGAGCTTGCCCTGGCCCAAACCCTGTCACCCCACGGGTACCAGAACCAGCCCCTCGGGCTGTCACATCCCCAGCCACCCCCAAGAACCATCCCAAGCCCCTGCTCTGGCTGCGGGAAGGTTTTGGCTGATCCACCCAAAGACAAAAGGGGTGCGTGGCAAAGGCGGGCAGGGTTTGGCACCTGGGAGGGACGTGGCATGGCCAGCACAGTGAGGCTGGCGAGGGGGGTGGGATGCGCTTGGCAGGACCCCAAATTGACATCAGCCTCTGAGTCACCTGGGTGTCTGCTGCAGCCCTGGCTCAAGCAGGGACCCCAGGTCGCTTCTTCTGCTTAATCTGGGCCCCCATAAAATGGCTCGTGTCTTCTCCTGGCCGACAGCCGCCTGGCAGAGCCAACGGGCTCCATTGCCTCTTTGTGCCCCGGTGCTGTTGGCCTCGGGGTGTGCATGGTGGGGTGGGCTGGTGGGGGACCGAGCTGGGGACCTGAGCCCAGGGAGGTGGCCAGGGCAAGAGGTGCTGAGGCAGACCAGAAAACAGGGAAAACCCACCCAGATTGCAGCCCCAGGTGGGCTTTTGGCCAAAGAGAGGATTGCGGTGTCTGCAGGGTCCCTGTCCTCTCCCACCCCCGGGGTCCCGGCTTGCTGTGCTGAGGCACGTGGGGCAGGTGAAGCTGGAAGAATCAGTTGAAGACAAACCCCACTGCCCGTGGGGCTGCACTGGGTAGTCTGGGGCAGCTCTGGATCCTACACATCTCCGGTTCCTGCCCGGACAGCTCAGCACGTCCCTGTCCCCATCCTCAGCCTGGGTGCTGGGTGTGACCCTGGAGCCCAGACCTGGCCCCCCCCCGAGCCCAGCTGCCTGGGAAGGGCTTTCGGAAACACCCGAGGACTTGGGAGACATCCTGGGTGCCGCGGGCGGCACCTCCTCCAGCAGCCGGCCAACCTGCGCTGGTCCCACGGGGCTTCGTGAGCTGTGCTCCAGCACAACCTGTTTAACCGCAGATTTAATTTTAATTAACAGACCCATTGTTTGAGGGTGGTGGCTGGGTGGATTTCTTATTTATTTTTTCTTGCTCCCAAGGGCTGATCTCAGCTCTCCACCGTCACCGGTGCCCACGTTGCTACCCTGAGCGACGGTGGGTTGCACTTGTTGGGGGATCTCGGGGTGATACAGGAGGTCCTTGTCCCCATCCTCATCCCCGCTGGCTTCAGCACCTGCTGCTTCCCCAGGCTCTGGATGGGGCTGAGTCCCTGCAACCCCACGGAGCTGAGCCAGGACCCAGCATCACCCAAACCCCTGGGCTTGCTGCTGGTCCCATGCCTCGGGGAGCACCGGGAGCCCTGTCCCAGCCCCGCCGCCCCGGGGCTTTTTGCTCGAAGGGAACGTGTGTGTTCATTTTCCCAGCTGCCGTTGGAGCCGTTCGGGGCCAGGTCGTCACGGTGCCCTTTGGCGCCGGTTGCTGCCTTTTCCCCCTCGCCCTGCTCCGTGCTGCCGTGGGGATCCAGCCCTCACGCCGGCAGCTCGGCGCTTTGCCGCAGCATCCCCGCGGTGCCGGTGAGAGCGGGGAGCAGGGACACCTCGCGCCCGTCCCAGTTGTCCCCTCCGTGTCCGTGGGTAACACCGGGGAGCGATGCAGCGTCACTCATCGTTTTGGGGCTCGGGGGTAGCAGGTACCTCCCGGCTGTGCCCCAGTGGGGCAGCTTTGTTATGGGCATGGAGAAACACTCAGGGGACTCGGCTCCATCCCAATTTGGGGTCTGCTCCTCTGCTGGTCCAGGCCAGAGCCCTGCCTGCCTGTGATGGGGTTGCAGGCGGCACCGGTGTGTGGGGAGGGCTGGGCAAGGATTTGGGTGCTGGGATGGGTGTCCCGCAAGCAGCACCCCACTCTGCCTGGCCCCCCAGGGATGGCACTGCTCTCACTTGGAGCCTCCCCACGGGCTGCCGAGCCCCCCGCCACCGTGTCTTGGCCCCTGCGCACCCACGGAGGCAAAACCTCAGGGGGCTGGTGGGCTTTTTTAGCTTGGTGGCAGCTGTTTGAAGAGTTGCAGGAGCCAACAGCCTGATCGCTTCCCCTCTCGCCTGGAGTGGTGGGATGAGCACGGGGCTGTGGGACTGTGGCTTTGGGGCAGGCGAGCTCCGGTGTGAAGCCCGTGGGGCCGGGGCCGGGCTCACCGCCAGCAGTGGGCACAAGCCAGGGAGCGTTTCCCAGGGCTGCTGCAATTACCAGCGCAGCCTCATGTAGCTCAGACGGGGAACATGAAGGTTTTTGGGGTGCTATGGGTGTCAGGGAGCATCTCGGTGCACCTGGGGCTGCCCCTCCAGCTCTCCTTTTCCAGGGAAATGCAGAAAGGGAAACAGCCACCCAAAGCGGATTCTTCGAGCAAACAGGTCCGCGCCCAGCCCCGCCACCTGTGTGCCAGAGCTGGAGAAAGTCAAACAAAGGCCCCCGCCCTGAGAGTACAGCACCGTTTGGCGGGTGATTGCTCAGGCTTCTGGGGCCACTTGCCCAAGGGATCGGGTCCTTCTGGTCCCAGCCGGGAGGAGGGGGATGAGGACGAGGACGAGGATGAGGATGAGGATGAGGATGAGGATGAGGATGAGGATGAGGATGAGGCCATCCACCCCACCACGTGCCCAGGGATGGCTCCGCAGCCCTGCTCCTCCATGTGTCTGTCTTATGAATGTGGGAGCGAAGGCCCAGCGGAGGTGGGATGGGTGGAGGATGCACCCACGACCCCAAAACATCCCAGAGACTCTGGGGATGAGACCCCCGTCCCCTCCCCAGAAAGCCCCCGGGGCCGGCACTGTGCGGTGGGCTGGAGCTGCACAAGCTGTTACCACTTTCCTTTTGTGCCGGGAGCAGCATGAGGCTGGATTTAAGGCTGATCTCCTAAAGCTCTTCTTTTAATCCAGAGCAAATCAAGGAGAGGTTTGGAAGCCGGCGCCATCTCTCAGGGAAACTGTTTGGGCAATGGGGGCAGCTGGGTGGTGCAGGCACCCCTTCTCCCTCGTCCTCCTCACTGCAGTGCCACCAAAACCCCTCGGGGACGTGGGTTCCAGCTCCCAAACCTGCAACCCTTCCCTGGGTCTCCGTGGAGTCAGGCTGGTGTGGGTGCTGTTTAGGTGGCCATGGTCCCTCCATGAGTTTTTTCAAACTTTTGGGGCTTTTCCAGGGGTGAAACGCTGGGCAGAGCTTCCTCGTGGTGCAGAGCTTCAAAACCCATATTTCTGGGGGCTTTAAAATCCGCAGCGATTGCGTTAACTCATCCCTGAGAGTGGGACATGGCAAGTGCTCCCCACTGGCACCGCTGTGGTTAACGGGGCTGCGGTGCTTGGCTATTACTGATGTTTAACAACCCGCCGCGCCGTGGGGAGCAGAGCCGGGCCCAGCAGCGTGGGCCGAGCAGTGTTTGCCACGGCAGAGCTGCAGGGATGGTCACTCGTGTCCCTCCTACCCCAAGCAGCCTCTTGCTTGGCTCCCCACGCCCAAGGGATGCTCTCTGTCTGGAAGAACCCAATAGTGTCTTTTCCTCTTTAGTCTTTTAAACCCTTTTTTTCCCCCAGCTGGGATTTAGAGCAAACAGGGCACCCTCTTTCCCTGGCCACTCTCCCTTATTCCCCTTCGGGGGCTGCTTGGTTTCCTTGGTAGAGTTTGGGGTTCATTCAGGCTTTCCATGCTCCTTTTTTTATTGCAGGCTCCATCGCAAAAGCTGCTACTTTTTCTGCTTTTAAATCACCAATTTGGTGTGGGATTTTTTTCCTTCTTCTAAAAAGAAATGCCAGAGGCAGGCAAGGATCTCAGCAGTGCCCTGGCCGTGCCCATTGCCAGCGTCTCCCCTGGCAGGGGTTTTCTCTTCCCAAAGCCTCAGGATGGCTCTTGGGGAGGTTTCTCCACGGATGGAGCCGTTCCCTGGTGTTGCCATGGAAATTCAGCAGGCTCATCCTCTTCTCCACGGCCTCCAAGACTCCCCGTGTACTGGAGACAGATGGGGACAGGATGATTTTGGGTAGCTTTTCTTGCAAGAGAGTAAAAGCAAAGTTCTTGCCTGGGACTTGGCAGCAGCAGCCAAGAGCTGGGTGCTGTGGTGCTGGGCTTGGTCCCCAGACTGGGAGAGCTGGGTTTGGGTGCTGCTGTGCTGGGGCATCCTCGGGTGAAAGCAGCGGGTGATGTTTTCCATGCACAGAAACGTGCCTGTGTGGTTTAGGCATCCTTTGATGCCGACGGGCATCCTTGGAGCCCCTCCAGCATGCCCCGCTGCTTCTTGCTAGGGCGTTCAACACCAGCTGAGACTGAACTGCTGCCAACCTGGGGTATAATTCATGGGAAGACCCTAAAAAGCCGTGGTGGTCAGGACCTACTTGTCCCCTGGGCTCCTTCTCCCTGCCGGCTGCTGTGGCTGCTCCTCTCAAAACCAGGACAGCCCTCCCAGCCCCATGGCTGACCCCGAGCCTGCATTTATCCGGGGGCTCGTGGGGCACCGTGGGTCTCTTTGGAGGTTTATTCCCCTCTAACAGGCTTAGTTCCTCCCTTTGTGCCTGGCCGCTGGGCGGGAAGGCAGGAATCGGTGCCGGGGTGAGCCTCTCCTCCTCTCCTCCTCTCCCAGCAGGTTTGGAGCCGGTGCTGAGCGGAGGGATGGGCAGTGCCAGCCCCGGGCTGACCACTCTGCCCCCCAGCCGCTTCGCCCGGCCAGACGCTGCCCTGCTGCCCCCCCCCCAGGACCCCGACACCTGGAGCTGGGGCTGCCCGGATAGCCCCAGCCCCCCCGCCACCCCCGAGCAGCCCCTGCCTGCTTTCTGCCTGCACTACTTCGACATGCTCTACTCGGAGGACATCGCCTGGGCCACCAAAGGCATGGGGGAACCGTCCCAAAGCGATGCCCAGGGGGGGCGAGGGGAGGCCCAGAAGGAGCCGGAGCAATGTCCCATCATCGACAGCCAGGGCTTGGGGCTGGGGGCCGAGGGGGACCTGCAGGCCAGCCTGCACCTGGAGGAGCACTCGCTGGAGCAGGTACAGAGCATGGTGGTGGGCGAAGTGCTGAAGGACATCGAGACAGCCTGCAAGCTCCTCAACATCGCCGCAGGTGGGTGCTGTACCCGGGGGTGGGGGGGGTGGGCTGCAGACAGGGTGGGCCCCATCACGGGGTGCGGCGAGGGAGGGATGTGCCAGTGCGGGGACTAAAGCACGGCTGCTGCCTGGCTCCCCCGGGCATCGCTCCTGGGCACGGCTAACGCCCAGAGATGCCAGTAAAATACTCCTCCAGCCTCACTGGCTTGAAGTTAAGCTGAGGCAGGGGTTAGCAGAGCTTTACGCAGAGCCCTGTGCTGGGTGTGGGGTGCCGGTGTGACCCAGCTGGTGCCGCAGAGCCAGAGAGGTGCGGGGACACAGAGACCCGATGCTGAGCCCGTCCCCTCCCTGGAGCTGGGGGTCCCTTCCCCTCCCAGGGCATCGTTATCGAGGCACCTTTCAGCCTTGTACACATCTTGGGGAGGGTGTGTGGTAGCAAAGAGCAGAGAGCAGGAGTTTAGTTATCCTTTTCTCTATCCCATTTTTTCTGGGACATCGGGAACAGGCAGATGAGTGTGCGGGGCTGCAGACAGCCTGGAGCCAGGTGGTGTTGCCCAAGCTGGGCATGGGGTTGGGTTCAAGGGGAGCAGGACAGCCCAGGACCGAGCTCCCTGGGGTATTGCTGCCATGGGGCACGGCTGGGGTATTCTCGGGGTTTATATGCAGGCTCTGCCACCCTTGAAGCATTTAGTGTCACCCGGGATGGTGCGGGGAGCTAGCGGGGCTCCAAATGCCTGGATGAGGCATCCCAAAGTGGAGGAGGTGCTGAGGGGATGGTTCTGTCCCCGGGGTTGCCATGGCAGGCTGAGAGGGGGATGCTCCCATCCTGCTGGGTGGCAGAAGAGGATGGTTTCTTGGAGCTGCCGTGGGGTGAGCTGAGTTTCCCCGGGCTTTGTCGGGGCTGTCGCTGGCCATGCTCACCCTCTGCCCCCAGACCCCGCAGACTGGAGCCCCGGCAACGTGCAGAAGTGGATCCTGTGGACGGAGCACCAGTACCGGCTGCCGCAGATCGGGAAGTCCTTCCAGGAGCTGTCGGGAAAGGACCTGTGTGCCATGTCCGAGGAGCAGTTCTGCCAGCGCTCCCCCGCCTGCGGGGACATCCTGCATGCCCACCTCGACATCTGGAAGTCTGGTAGGCACCGGGGACCGGGAGGGAGCTGGGGAGGATGAGTGATGCTGTGCAGCGGGAGATGCCCCTCTGACCGCCCGCTCCTCCCTTCCAGCCGCCTGGATGAAGGAAAAAGCCACCCCAGGAGATGTGAGATACTGCGGTGAGTTCTGTGCAGGCTCAGCTCCACCGGCCTCGCTTCTGCCTCAGACAGGTCTGGGTATTTGAGAGGTCACTCCCTGCTTAATTGCAATTAGCTGGTGTGTTGGATCAGCTGCTGCATCCATGTGGTTGCACTCCCCCTGCCCTGGAGCAGCCCCTGGCCCGTCTGCGAGGTGCAGCGGAGGGGAAACGGCCGTGAGACCCTCGCTGGCCCCATCCTGTACCCTGTGCATCCCTGCGGGGCTCCTCAAGGGCGAGACCGACCTGCTTTCCCTGCTCCAAGGCGAGGAGGAGAAAGCAATGCTTCCAGACCCAGTGCCTGGGCTGAGCCTCCAGAGACCCCCAGGCATCGAGCTGCGACTTCCCAGATGAGGACCCGTGCGGGTCCCTGGGGTGGCGCAAAGCAGAGAGGTGTCTCCCCGCCCCCATCTCACCCGTCCCCATCCGTTCCCACAGCAGGAGGTGATGCCAGCTGGGCGGACAGCGAGGTGGACTCATCCTGCGCCGGCCAACCCATCCACCTCTGGCAGTTCCTCAAAGAGCTGCTGCTGAAACCCCACAACTACGGCCGCTTCATCCGCTGGCTCAACAAGGAGAAAGGTGGGTGGGTGGGTGCTCTGGCAGCCCCCGGGGTGGGTGCTGGGCAGGGGCAGGCAAGGCTGTAACCTCCCAGGCCCTGTTCCTCTCTTAGGCATCTTCAAGATCGAGGACTCGGCGCAAGTGGCCCGTCTGTGGGGCATCCGGAAGAACCGCCCGGCCATGAACTACGACAAGCTGAGCCGCTCCATCCGGCAGTATTACAAGAAAGGCATCATCCGGAAACCCGACATCTCCCAGCGCCTCGTCTACCAGTTTGTCCACCCGGTCTGACCGGTGGCAATGGGACAGGCTGAGCCCCGGGAGGGACAAGGGACCTTCGCCACCTCCCTCTGCCTCCCAGCCACAGAAACCGTCTCCCAGCTCTAAGGGACCGTGGCTGGGGAGCCGAGAGGCTCACCACCCCTCCAGGACCTGCTGGCCACAGACCATAGGACCCCCCTCACCCCCAGCCTCGGCGGGGACCCCCAGCTGAGGGACCACCGATGTGCTCTGGTGTGGGGCACGGACCATGCAGAGCCCTCGCCTCCCGCGAGCGCTCCCAGGGGAGGGTGGGCACGGACTTTGGGGCCGGCGGCGAAGACGCGGGGTTGATCGGGGTGGGATAAAGGCAGATGAATTTATGGCTGTCACGGGGCTCCCCACAACCTTGGTGCCCTTCGGCAGGGATTGAAGGTGGGAGAGAGGCTGGGGTCACCCAGGGGAGGGGCTGGGGGACACAAGACTCCTGCCCCCATGTCTTTTCCCCCCTCAGCACATTTTCCTCTTACGCCACAGACCCAGGGGCATCGTCAGGACACAGGGACCAAGCAGGACATGTCCCAGCAGGAGACTTCAGTATCCCCATGGCATCATGCCCCAGGGCTGATTTGAAGGGGGACACGACACCGTGGGGGCCAGATCCTGTCCCCATGCCACCACCAGCCTGGCTGTGGGACCAGTTGCCCTCGGTACACATCAGGAGGGACCCTGTGCGCCGCAGCTCTGGATTTACCCCAACAAGCAGCTCCTGGCCCTCAGCCCTGTTCGGGGTGGGGGGACAGCGTGGTGGGGGGGGCTCTGTCCTTTGCTGCACCTCGACCCTCAGCTGCAAAGAAAGGGGCTGCCTGAATCTGGGGAGGGGGGGTGGAGGCTAAGCCTGACCCTCCCTCCTCCCCTCCCTCCTGGGTGCTGGCTGCGGGTGGCTTTGCCCCAGCCATTGTTCGGGGAGGACAAAGCCCAGGCATGAGCTGGGACAATGGCACTCGCGGGGACAATGGCACCCACGGGGACAATGGCACCCACGGGGACAATGGCACCCGCAGCTGCCCTTGGCTGGGCCCGCGCTGACCCGACCCTCGCAGGAGCCGCCTGGCACCGGCAGCACCGCAGCACCCAGGGGTGCTGCCTGCCACGGGGTAGCTGTGTCCTGGGCACATCCCCTCGGGATGGGCGCACCCCACCTTCGCTCCGGGACACTCTCAGCTTCTCCTCACCACGGGGATTCGGGGCTGAAAAGGGGCATTTTGCAAAGGAGCAGCTGTAAAACACAGGCACGGGGCCGTGCACGCTGGAGCATCCCTGCAGCTGTGGGGGTCCTCTGGACCGGGTCCCCCATCCTTGGGCATGGGGACACCCCAAAGCTCCCCAAAGCCCCCAGGTCCTTGGCCCTGGCACAGGTCTCTTCGCTTGATTTGGATTTTAATTGAACTGCCTGATTCCTGAATTTAGGAAAAGGGAGATAGCAGCTTTGCCATTTCCCTCTGCACAGTAAATCTGAAACGCAACCCGCTGGCCCTGGACTGGGATGGAAAACTTGGGGTTGCTTAAACTGCACATTTCATGAGAGTCTAAGTTACCTGGCAATGTTGATCTTTTATATTATAATTTTTTTATTTGTTTATTTGCTTTTTGGTTTTGGCTGGCAGCAAGTTGTGGTTTAGGTTCAAATGACGAGGGTAGGCAGGCGGTCTGGGTAGCCACGAGATGCTTTGTGGGAATTTAAAAGGAAAAAAAAACACCTGGTTGTTGGTCTTTTGTTTTTAACTTAAAATAGCTGCCTGTGATGGCTCCTGCCTTTTTGTTTTTGTTCTGTCTGTTTTGTACTGTTTGCACAGCAGAGGAGTGGATGCATTTCTGCCAGCCTTGCAAGCATCCCAGCTGGAGAGGGATGGAGGGTGGCTGGAGGGAGGAGAGGAGCAGGGGAAGGAGGAAAACTGCCTTGGCCTCTGGAAAAGGGGAAGCAAAAAAAAAAAAAAAAAGGGAAGGGTGTGGAAAAGCAAAACTTGTCTCGTGATATCCCGTGTGCCCCCCATGCTCCCGCAGATGGCATGAGGAGCACCGGGAGAGCGGGCTGGGGGTGCTGGTGCCCCAGATCTTGTGCCCCTCTCGCAGACGCTTTGGCGGGGTGGGTGAAGGCAGGTGGTCGCGTGTCCCTGCGGGGACGGTCAGCAGGGAGAGGGTTGAACGGTGAGGAAAGCTGCTGCGAGCTGGGGAGGGTGCACCCGGGGATCCGGTGTCCCCAGGGGCCTGGGGATCTGACCCAGCAGATGCCCACTGCGGCGGGATGGGCAGCCGGGGTTTCTCCCCAAGCCTTTTGCAGCTCCAGCCCTTAAATAAGAGGAAATAAATCCCTTTTCTCTGCCCCCTCCCCATCAGGAGCCCAGGGAGTGGCCCCCATGTCCCCGAGGGTCCTGGTCTCTCTGTCCCATCCCCCTTGGCCACTGCCCTGGCCTGGGGCTGCCCTGGCTCTCCGGAGATGGGCGAGTGGGGGGTGACCTGCAAATTGGTTTTCCCAAGGCTTCTAGGCTCGAAGGCAGCCCCGGGGGGCTCTATTCCCTCAGTCAGCATCCACTCGCCATGCTGGGGTTTCGCCAATCTCCCCCTGCCCAGGGTACTGGGGAACGCTGGGCCAGGGGCTGCTGCTGGTGCTGGGAATGGCTCCCAAAACTTCTTTTTCTTGGTTTTTGCAAAGCTTCGCCTGGCACATTGGCACAGGAGTCCCCAAAGGCAGCGACCACTCCCCCCCTCCCGCAGCCCCCTCACCCCCCAGGACCCCAGCAATGCAGCCGAGCCCCCCATCCTGCTGCACCCCAAAGCCTCAGGGTGGGGGTGTCCCTACCTGGGGGTGCAGCGGCTGCGACTGTGGCTCCCCAGGGCGCAGGGGGATCGAGTGCCCACCCCGGGCTGGGAGGGGGGGGTCCATAACCCCAACAGCCACCCCCACGGGGGGCGAGACCGGCGCACGGAGGCAAACGAGGACCCAGACCCCAAGGACGCTTACAGAGCTCAGTTATTTTCGCTTGCTGTTTTTTGTTGTTGTATCCACGGTAATACAATCACGATATATATATATATTATATATATACTTTTTTAAATTACACAATCAATGTACAAAAAACCGGGGTGCATTGCTGAGACAGGTGGTTGGTTGGGTTTTTTCTGACTTTTTTGTGTTGTTTTTTTGTTTTTTTGTTTTTTTTTTCCCATTTGAGTACTTGGCAGGGGATGTTGGGCCGGGTGGCTCTCATCCACCGTGCCCTGCACATGGTGCATCTCCTGCCTCCGCGAAAACACTTGATCTCTGGGGCCAAAAAATTCACAAACCAATGGAGGGGGCAGGAGAGGAGCGGGAGAATCTTGTGAGAAGACAGTGGCGTTGATGCTGCTGAGGGTGATGGTATGGAAAAAAATGAGAGATGATCTGTAGGGAAAAGCTCATGATGGCAAATGTCCCCGGGACAGAGGGGTTGGGTGACCGTGGTGGGTGGCAGCACTCGTGGGTGCTGAGGGGGTCCTGTCCACACCACAGCTGGTTGCAGAGCCCAGGTGCAGGAGGGGTAGAGCCCCTTGGGGGGGGAAAGAAAAGGGCAAAGCCTGCGGCTGTTCCCCTGCTTTGACGTGTCTTGTTTTCAGCCGTCTTCACCAGGCAGCTTCTCTGCTGCTCAGGCCGGGGTCTGCTGCCTGCACCGAGCCCTCCTCATCCTCCGGCTGGCTGCAGGTCCTGCCGGCACCGTGCAAGGCTGGACATTGCTTATCCCCCCCTCCCTGCTCTGCTCCCGCCTCTCTTCAGGAAGGGAGTTGGATGGGGATCGTCCCCAGCAGCATCCAAGCTGGTCCCCGCTGGCCCAAGCTGGGTGGGAAGGTGCTTCCCAGCAGCATCGGGCTGCGGGGGGTCCTTCTCCAAACAGCATTTGAGGGCCACCTCTCCCTGGGTCCGGTGTGTGCTGGGTACCCGCCCTCGTGAAGGGCGATGCTGCTCCCTGCAGCACACGTGGGGCATCGGCTCGGGAGCCTCCACCCACTCCAGACATGTTGACCAACGAGGAGGAGGAGGAGGAAGCTGAGGAGATGCCACCAAGCTCCACGGCAGGGCTGGTCGCACCTCACCTGGGCATCAATCTGCCACCAGCCCTGCCCGGGAGCAGGGACCTGCCCACGGATGGGGCTGGGTGGCTGTGGGACAGGAGGGGACGTTCATCCCCTTCCTTTGGGGAGGGAGAATGAACCAAGGAGGAGAACATGGAAACACCAAAAAATGGAGTCAGACTCCAGTCCCTCTTGGGTTTTTGGGGTGAATTTGCTTGGTCCCAGGAGCTTCAGCGCCGTGCATTTCGGAACAGTTCCAGCCAATCAGAAGGTGGCTCATGATTTCAGTATCTTTAAAAACCAACCAATCAGGAGCTCTCACTGGTTGGGCTTTAAGATCTTGAGGTATCGGCTTTTCGCTCGGAAAAAAAATCAACTAACGTAGACGAACGGACAACGTCACCTTTCGCTTCACGTTATCTTAGAAGAAGAAGAAAGCGACTATGCAAAATACTCTTTGGAGACAACTCTTAAAAAAATAAAAGCTTGGTCGGAAAATATGTCTGAATCTCTAACTGTGAGGAGTGACGGACCAGACGGCAAAATGGCTGGTTGGCTGGTGGAGAGATGGAGACAACGGAGGGTGGATTTATCTGCTGACGGCAACGAGGAGCACACCACAAGACTTAGATTGCCTCCACGTAGTTGGCGGGGTAGAGACCTAGCTGCCCGTTGTCCAAGCGCCCTTTGCACCATCCTTGCTCGTCTTCTTCACCGAGCTTGGTTAGTTCATCACCTGGAGAAGAAGGTGGAAAGGGGAGAGCTTGTTGCAGGTGTTGGAGCTTTTTCTACCACCCTGTTTCTCCCCTGGATGGAGTTGCTGGGGGTTTCTAGGACTGATCCTGAGCACGCCGGTTTGCAGGGTAGAAAGGCAAGGGGTGACCCATGAAACCTCATGTGCCCTGTCCCACCATCTCTCTGGTCCCACCCGGCGTTGGGCTCAGACTGTGCCTTCCGCTTTCTGCCAGCTCAAATTTTGGAAGGGCTGGGATAACTCAGAAATTATTTGAGGGATTTCACACCAAGATGTGAGGGACCTACAGCTCCAGCAGACGAGCCCCGGCCAACCTGGCACCGGTGAGGGACCGTACCTGCTTTGAAGCTGAGCTCATCCTGCTCCTGCCCGTCGTAGTCGTACAGAGCCCGCACCCGCACGCCCTTCCCCACCGACTCCTCGTCGAAGGGGTTGGTGCCACCGTTGGCCTCACTGGTGTTGAAGGAATTGCTGCCTTCGTCATCGGACCACTCGGCGCTGTAGGTCTGCCCACGGTCGTGGCTGCTCACGCTGGGGCACGGGGGAAGGAGGGAGAGAGGCCGTCAGAGAGGGCAGGGGGGTGGTGGGGTGGGCAGGCACCGTGTGCCGCCGGCGTCTGGGGGGATGCTGCAGCTTTCCCGAGGTTTCAGGGGAGTTGGGGTGCAAGGAGCAGGACCCCCAGCTGACGACAGGCCAGCAAGATGTGGAGGGAGGACAGAGAAGAGTGGCGGCTGTCACCGAGGATGTCCCACATCCCCTTGAGTGTCCCCACAGCACTGGCAGTGTTTTCACAGGAAAATGCCGTGCCTTTCCCAGGGCATCTGCTCTCCCCGCTGGCCCTCACCTCCCGCGCTCGCCCGCCGGTGCCCCCGTCTCGCCCGCGCTGCTGGTGTTGGTCAGGGTCACTCCCTCGCCCTTCTTCTGCTTCTCCTTCCGTGTTATCGTGTGTGTCAGGTCCGGGTTCCACTCCTGCGAGCACAAAGCAACCGGCCCCTGAGCACCCAGTCGCCTCGTGGGGCTGCCAGCACCCCAACCAAGGTGCCCAGCCTCACCTCAAACTGGGGCCAGTTCATGGGCATCCCAGGACCGCTGCTGCTGCGGAACCACCGGAGATCCTCCTGCGCGTCCGAGAGGCGGATGGTCTGCTCCAGCTCTCGGTAGACGTTGGCGTAGCTGCAGGGAGCGAGACGTGGGTCGGGGTGCTGCAGGCGGGGGCAGACCCTGGTGGGGTGCCTCGGGGATGGGGTGGGGTGAGGATGTGCCCAGGTTGTGTCACCTCCAAGGCACTGGGGGGCGCCAGGCTCCTGCACAGCCCTCCTGCCACTCTGGTACCTCTTAGTGACCATCGTGTTGGCCAGAAACATTTGTATTGCAGGGGACGGGTTGTCCTGGAAGCACTTGGTCCCTCCAGGGCTTGGTTTGCTTTGCAAGAAGCACGAGGGGACCTTGCGTGGGCACTTGCTGCCCAGCCAGCTCAGGAGGCACCTACCTGCTGCTCTCAGCCAGGTTCAGGTGCCTCTTGATGTCCAGGAGCACTTCCTTGAGGAAGTTGAGCCTCTTCTCCTCAAACTGCTGGCACTGCTCAAAGACCTGCTCCATGCTCTCGATGTACTGTGGGGTGCACTTGTTCAGCTCGTCCAGCACCTTCTCATACTTCTCCTGAGTCTGAAAAGGTGCAAGAAGGTACCCTGGTTATACCTCGAGCACCTCAGAGGCCCTTCCTGGGTGCTGAGAGGCTCTGGTTTGTGGGCCACCACACTGGGGAGCCCAGATTGAGCCAAAAGCCCCTGTGGGTGAAATCAGTCTGGTTGCCAGAGAGATTTTGCCACAGTAAGAGGGGTAAATCTCTGTCCTGCTCACACTCCCCTGAGCACTGCCTGCAAGTCCTCACCCTTCTACAGGAGCGTAGGGATGGAAAAATGGGAATAAAGGGTGGGAAAGGGGCGCGGTGGCCATTTCCATTGGTTTTCCCTGCCCGATGCCTTGTGACCTCAGAGCAGGGCAGCAGCTCACACCTTTTGCACGTCTTGCTTGCACTTTTCCACTTTGTCCTGGAGTTTCTTCTGCTGCTCAGGGGTGTTGGACTGCTCTGCCTTGCTGTTGGCTTCCCGGGTCATTGCCAGCTTCTCCTCCTTGCATGCCAGGTGGTAGGCTTTCTTGGCTGTCTCCAGCTGTGGTGAGGAGAGAGAAGGGACATCAGAGCAGCAGTCACAGCCCGCTGCCCATCCCTCTGCCTGCAGGGATGTGACACCGAGCAGTCCCCGCCTGGGCTGGGCACCCACAGACAGAACTGGGAGATGGCATGGGTGTCCCAGGACGTGCGGCGCTTCTCCTCTTACCTCCTTGAGCTTCTTGGCCCAGGGCTTCTGGGCTTTCCGAAAGCCATCCTCAGCCTCCTTGGCCTCCTTGAAGCCTCCCATGATCTGCTTGTGGTAGGCGTCCTTCTGCCAGTTCTTGACCTTCTCGAAGTCATCGTTCAGCAGGCTGTTCTTCACCTCCTGGTGCAGCTCGCTCACCTTGTCCGCCTCCGTCATGATGGCACCCCACGCCTTCTCCATGCTGCCGTACTGGGGACCTGGCGGGCAGAGGGGACAGCTGAGTGTCACTCCACGGCCTTTATCCCCTCCAACTCTACCAGGTGAAGTTGTGATGGTGCATGGGGACCACTGGGACCCAAGTGTCCTGGGGGGAGCCTCCCCCTGGGGAAGCCATGGTACCTTTCTCAATGAGCTGCCTCCACCGCTTAGACCAGTCGGTGAGCTGCTGGGCGTAGGACTTCTCGATCTTGGCCCGCTCGTGCACGCAGTTCATGAGGTCATTGCAGAGCCGGTGCCCGTCATCGATCCGCTTCACCGTGCGCTTGTAGTTCCCCACCTGGGATGGGGACGGGGACAGGCAGACGTGGGAGCTGTAGCCGGGCTGCCCGGCTCAGCCCCAGCTGGCCTGGGGTGGGGACGGGGGGAGCACCAGGCACTTTGGGAGTGCAGGAATGGAGCTTTTGCCTTGGGGCTGACCAAACCCAAGTCCTTTCAGTCCCCTCCATCGTTCTGTGTCCCTCAGGGACAGCCAAGGTTGAGACCTTCGGCAGAGCTGGCTTGGACGCCTCAGCCACGACGGCAGGGATGCCCGCAGGCAGAGCTTGCTGTGGGAAGAGAGGGTAGCACCATCCCCCCCCTCCCCCGCCTCCCCAAGCCCTGGGGACACCCTGGGATGCAGTGACAGTGGCGGGGGCCCCGTGGGAGGAGAGAGTGGCCAGGACTCACCTCCCAGAAGCTGTCGGTTGTTTCCTCGGCGGCCGCTGCTGACTCGTCGTAGGAACCCGACATGGCTCCCGGAGCTGCCTCGGGCGTCAGTGCGGGCGCTGGGTGGCTCTTGGGCAAACACCAGCCTCATGCACTGAGGGGAGAAGAGGGGGGGGAGTCATGGCGGAGGGGGGGGTGTGAGCGGGGGACCCCCATCCCTCTTGTCCGCAGCACTGCAGGAGAAGCATCCAGCTGCAGGGGATGGGGATGGTGCCCGTTCCAGCTCCAGACCCACAGACCCCTCCAGTGCCCACCACATGCCACCCGCTTGGTGCCATCCAAACACACCCCACCCCCCCCCAAAGCTGGCTGTACTGGGAGGGAGAATGGTGGGGAGCAGCACAGAGGGGAGCTCACCAGCTGGGGGCCTGGCTCAGCACTGCGCGTCCCCAGGGAGCCGCGGTGTGGGGCAAGAGGCCGTGGCAGGGCCGGTGGAGGGGGGATGCACTGCCCAGAGAAATTCACGTCCTGATATTCCACCCTAATCCGTCCTGATCTTCAGAAAAACGGCATCCCCGGAGAGTCACGTGGCCCCGCTGCACGGCTTAACCCTTTGCCACTTTGCTGAGAGTCACAGCTGGGGCTGGGGGCTGGTGGGTGGCATCGAATGGGGATGGAGAGGGGACCACGGTGGCCATGAGCATCCCCGTTATCCCCATCCTGCCCCGGATCCGGACAGCACTGGGCCTGTCCCACATGGCATCTGCCACTGGGATGGGGACGAAGTGGTCGTGAACTGCCCCAGTTTCCTCCTGCTACATCCCCAAAAGGCCTGCAGGAGTGGGATGGGGCTGTGGTCCCCATGCCACTGTCACTTCACTCAGGGAGATGGAGCAGGCAGCGGGAGACCTGGCTGCCTGCATCCCACCCCACTCCTGGGAGCGGGAGATGGTGTGGGAGGGCAGGGCTGGGGGCACGGGGTCCTGGTGCCCCGGTGCCCACCCGTGGGGTGGTGGGTGCCCACGCTCTCCAGCTGTGTGCACAGCTGACCCCAAGGAGCCCATGGGCTGGGGCAGGGCACGGCCCCAAAGGGGATGGGGGGCCGAAACAGTTACTGGCGCACGGCGCAGGGCTCGCTGTGCTGGAACTAACAGGCCCTGGCAGGGATTTAGTGATATAACCAGGGAGGCACCAATCCCCGCCGCCCTCCCCAGCCGGTTAAAAATAAACGCGTGACTGTCCCTCGCTCAGCCGCCGAGACGCAGATGGCTGGGGGACCGCGGCGGTGCGCAGCGCAGCCAGCACCGTCCCCCGCCGCAGCCAGCAGCCCACGGCGCCCACGCCTGCCTGGCACCCACGGCCCCACCACCACCCTCCCCACCCGTGAAAGTGCCCGACCCAAACACCCACGGGCTGCCCCGGTGCACCCGCAGCGGTGGCGGAGCAGCCAGGTGGCACAACCCCCAGGGGACCCTGCAAGGTGCCATGTGTGGCCGTCCCTCCTGCAAGCCCCGGGCACGGCGCAGTGCTCAGCACCAGGGGTTTTGCTGGGCTCTGGGCTCTTCGTTTTATTGCAGAGGCTGAGCCGGCAGAGCAAGGGCATCCTTGGGGTGACAGCCCCAGGACTGGGACAGGGACCCTGGGGAGGGAGCGCACCCATAGCTGGGTGTACCCTGGGACCCACGGACATGTCAGCTGCCCCTACCAAGCCGCCAGCAGCCCAGGCCGTGGGGCACTGCGGGACACGGCTGCCGCAGCTCCCGCTCCTCACCATTACCTGGCCTGAGCCGCAGCCCGGGGGGGGGTGTTATTTTTGGCTCTGCATCACTTCTCAGCTACAATGCTCCCGCCTCCTTGCCGCTCTCCTGCCACGCAGCCCCCCCCCCCCCCCCCCCCGCGCAGCACACGCCAGCCCCGTGCCCGCCGGCGCAGCCCATCACCTCGCATCGAGGCGGCTGGGCAGTGATGCCTGGTGCCCGCGGTGCCGGCGGCCGAGGCGAGCTGCTGCCAGCCCCAGCCATGCGCTGGGCACCCTTGGCCGGGGGGGGGGGGGTCCGCTTCACAGCCCTCCACAACCCCCACACACACCCCCTTCGTTTCCACGAAGCTGCTGAAGAGAAGCCACGGAGCATTTGGCATCGAGTGACGGTGAAGTTGGTCCCAGATCCTGCCCCTGCTCGCCCTTGGGTTGCTCCCGCAGCAGCCGCCGCCCCCCCCCCCCCCCCCCCAACTCCCCTGCATCTCAGCTCGTTGCTGAGCACTGCCGCAGCTCATCTCACCCACTGGGCAGCTCCTGCCACCGCCAGCGTTGCAGGGGGGGTCCCTGCCCTCCACAGGGGCCGCGGCCGCCGACCCTGCGCAGGCAGGAGGCTGCTGCAATGCAGAGAGCTGGTGCTGCCTACGCTGCGGGCACGGGCAGCTGCCCGCACCCCCGCAGCCTCCCCGGCGCTGCCCTGGCCCCGCGCAGGCAGGGACAGCCTGGTTTTGCCATCCCCCCTGCCCCTGGCAGAGGGGCTGCAGAGCTTTGGGCCAGCGCTGCTGCAGCAGCCAGCTGCCTGCCTCCCCTCCGCAGCCCCCCAGGGCCCGGGAAGGGTGACAGGGACAAGCCAGGTCCCCCAGGGAGGGTCAGCCAGGCCCCCGACCCTCCCCACTCTCTTTGCATTTGCAGGAGCTTTGCCTTTGCTCTAACACCATCATTAAATCTGCAAGCAGCCTCGGGGTGCGCTGTGGGATGGGGGGGTGCCCCCGTCCTGGGTTCTGGGGTCCCCGGTGGGGTGCCAGGCACCAGCCCCAGCCCTGGGGAGAGGTTGCGTCCGGGCAGCAGGTTGCTCTGCCTCCAGGTTTTTTGGTTGCCACTGGCCCCAGCACCTCTGCTGCAGCCAAAAAAGCAGGTGATGGGGACGTGATACAGGGAACAGGCAGCCGCCTGCGTGTGTCCCCATCCTGCCTGCCTGCACATCGGGGCAGGGGGGGCAGGGGGGGTGGGCAGGGGGCCAGGAGGGGCTGCAGAGCCTCTGGGTACGGGTTCTGCTGCTGCAGAGCCCTTTGCCAAGGCAAATGTGCTGCAAGGAGGGAAGAGGAGCACGGAGCGAGCCTGTGTCCCCATCCCTGTCCCCAACCCCATCCCCGTCCCCACCCCGTCCCGTGGCAGGAGGGTCACACTCGTGGTAAATGGTAGAGGGCCGGGTGTGAGCCCTGCTGTGGGAGCACGAGCACTAACAGGGCTGGGAGGGGGGAGCTGGCGACTAATTATTGGTGAAAGCATCCAGGGAAGGGGGAAGCCATGCTGGCATCTGCCCTGGATCTGCGGGAATCAGAGCAAGCGGGGAGCTCCCGGACACCAACCCCGAGCACGAACCGATGCAACACACGACAATTCCCTGGTGCAAATCCCTTCTGCAGCCGCAGCCCCGACACGGAGCTGCAGCCCAGCCCGGCCGGTGCTGCTCAAGCCGAGGGCACCGGGGACCCTCGCTTGCTGGAGCACGTGAGCTGGGGACAGGACGGTAATTTGCTGCACACTCTTGCCTTGTAGTTACCCGGGGGCTCCCGGCAGTAAAGCCGAAGCTCAGCAATTGGAAAGGACCCAATTGCCTGAGCCAGTTTTATTGCAATTAAACACCAGGACTGACCCGGCCTGTCAAATCAAACCATCCACGAGGCTGCAATGTGAAATAGTCACTATGTTTTGGCTCCTTTTGTAAGGCCGAGGATGAGCACAGGGGTTTAGGGGAAGGAGTGAGGCTGGGGTTTAGGTTTTTGGCTACAGGGAAGGATGTTTTCTCTCCCTTATCTCTGCACAGGGCTGGCTGAGGGTCTGCGGGGGTTGCAGCACCAAATGCCACCGCGACGCACCGCTGCTATCGCCGCATGAAAACCACTCGTGGCAAAGACAAATGGACTAGAAACGGCCGAGGAAGCCCAAGGGGGAGCCTGGCAGCAGCATCTCCCACCGCGCCGCGGCAGCGCTGGGGCTGCACGGTACCTGACCTCAGCACCGCATCCCCCGCGGGGACCACTGCCCATGTGCTGCTCCCACTACTGCCAACTGGGGGGGGGCGGGGGGGGTGCGAGATGCCCCCGGTGCAATGACAGGTCCTGAGGCAAAGCCGGTAATGCTGATGCGCTTCGCAAGAGGCTTTGCGGCTGCAGGAGCTGCCGTCTGGTTTGCTGCTGAGTTTTCAGCCGGGAGGGTGGCTGTGGGTTTCCTGCCGGCGTGGGGCTGGTTTGTGCAAGCTGTGGGGCAGGGAAACGCTCCCGTGGGGCAAGGGGAGCAGCCCAGGGAGCGAGGGGGATGCGGAGGGGTTGGGCTGGGGCATGGCTGAACCCTCCCCTGACTGTGAGGAAACGGTTAAGTGGGTGCTGCTGATTCACGCTGGCGGCTCCGCACCAGGCACTGGGCGAGGAGGCAGGAGCAGAGCCCAGGGCTCAGGGTTGAGCAGCCTGGAGGGGTGTGAGGGGCCTCAACGCGCATCCTCCCTCCTCATTATCAAACCAAGCCCACAGCCGGGGCGGGGGGGGGCCTCCCCAAGCCACCAGCTCCATGCCAGCAGGCTGCAAACCGCTGGCGTCAGGGCCCCATCCTGCATCCCCCCCCCCCCCCCCCCGGGCAAAACCCCTCTGGCTGCAACATGAGCAGGGTTGGAGCCCTGGGGCAAGCAGCCGAAGCTCGGTCAGAGCCGTGGCCAGGCCAGACGGGAGGGGACGGGTGTCCCCCTGTCCGGCGGGTGCTTCTCCTCCGTGGGATTTAGGGCAGGGCTGCACCGTGGGGCTGGCGTGGACCCGGTGCGCGCGGTTGCTCAAGCAGCGCCCGAGGTGGCTGCGAGGGCAGCAGGTCCCCGGAGGTGACACGTAGGCAGTGGTGGGAAACTTCTGGGAGCCGCTTTTCCAACAAATCCTCTGCGGGATGGCGCTTGTGGCCACCACTTTGTTTCATCTGAGCTGACCGGGGAGGGGGGCTGAGGATTGGGAGCGGGGGGTTGGGGGGGGTTCGGTTGCAACAGGGGCTTGCTGAACCCCGCCAGGTCAGGGCTTGCAGGCTCCCCAGAACTGAAGCATTTGCAAAGGAGGTTCAACAATCCAGGACCATTACTGGGAGCCACGTGTCCTGCCTGCAGATGGGATGGGAGGGCACCCACCTCGCTGGCCGGGGTGGGGGCCACCCGCTGTGGGTGCTGCCAGGTTGCCGAGCCCTGGCAGCAAACCGCTTTGCATTTTGTGTGTGTGCGCCCTGCAGAAACCTTCGCCTCCCTCCAGCGCTCCCCAAAGTTACCCTGCTCAGAGCACAGGGCACCCATCAAAAGTCGTTTAGGGATTTTACAAGCCTTGTGCAAAGATTTCTGGAAATCTGCATGGCATTTTGCAGATAACGCAAGTGTTTCTCTCCAGGGGAGCTTGCAGCCCGGCTCAGGTACAGCGGATGTGCCAGGAATGTGGATGGGCACCACGGTGAGGTGCAGAACCTGGGTGCTCAACCCCATGCGTGCGCTCAGGCCTGGGGAAGGGAGATGGGGCTGAGCCTCAGCTCGTGGGGTTTCGACTCGCCTTCCAGCTCTGCAGCTTTTCGCAGCCTGCCGCCTTAGCTGGCCACTGTCAACACGGATGCTCGGACTCTAGAGCAGGGACTTTTGTGGTCCTGGGAGCAGGGTTTAGGCAGAAATCCAAATATGAGGTTTGCAATTAAACTGAGAAGTAGCGAACAACGGTGGTGGAGGATACGGTGGTGCCATCCCCTTGCTTTGGCATCAAGGAGGGGGGAAAACAGAGTGTGACATGCTGGCACGGGGGGGGTCCCGTCCCCTCTGCCTTGGTAGGAGGGCCCTGGGGCTGGTGGTGACAGGAGGCGAACGGGGCTGCCGGGAGCAGGGTGATGTGGGGGGACAGTGGGATTTTAGCTGTTTGTGGTGGGGGAAGGAGACTTGGAGCCAGAGGGGGTTCAGAGAGGGGGTAGGAAAGCAGGGGGAATGGGGGGCAGGAGAGCAAAGGGGAAGCTGGGGTGACAACGGCAAAAGGAGGGGCTTTGGCGATGGGGTGAAGCACTCATTTGGGCAGGGGGACAGCAATGACATCAACAGCATATGTCCCCCTGTCATTTGCAGCTGGGGGAACTGAGGCACAAACCTGGGGGTACGGCAGAGGCACAGAGGGGGTGTCCCTCGCCCCGACACCCCATCAGATGTGTGTGTGGGGGGGTGTGAAGATCACAGTCCCGTCCCATCCCCCCCAGTTTGCAAAAGGGATCAGGGGACACCGTGTCCTGCCGGGGATGGGGGGGGGGGGGGTGGTGTTGCAAACCCACGCCATACTGCCTGGTCCTTCCCCAGCATCCCC